TGAGCTGCAATTTTAAATTCTTTTCCTGCTTATACAAACCATTCACTGACTTCCTTGTGTGTTCCTTGGCTCATTTCAATGTGTATAGCTGTTCCAATTATTCTTATGTGTGCTACGATGTATTTCTGCTTTCCTTACCAGATGGTGAACTCTGTATGTAACTCAGTAGAGTGGCCTGGTTCTACTGATAATTAATTGCACAACCCCAAGCAAGTTACCTAATTTCTTTGAACCTCAGTTTCTACAACTGAAACATGAATTTCTTGATCCATAAAGTGTCTTTAAGTCCTATTAGCTACTTTATGAACTTACTTAGTTATGGCATAACTATTTGTGCACATAAATGTCCCTGAAAAGTCCTCTGCTTCCTGTGAAGGTTCAATGAAGTCTTGTTAGATAATAGAGGGGCTCCCTTTAGGACCTTTTTCCACAAAAACCCTCCCCACCATATGAAGAGATTGACTTATACACACTAAGATAGAAAAGAACTTGTATCTAAGACAGYTCCATTGAGGTGCTAATTCTGCCACAGGAATTATTTCCCAGTTGACCAGAGTAGATACGATGAACTCTGTCTCAATAGCTTCCTTCATTTTCTGTGTTTACAAAAGGGTTGTATCTCTTTCTCTATGTAGCTTCGGAAGGAGTATGGGGCCAATGTGCTTCCTGCATTCCCCCCAAAGAAGCTTTTCTCTCTGACACCTGCAGAGGTAGAACAGAGGAGAGAGCAGTTAGAGAAGTACATGCAAGCTGGTGAGTGATTGGAGGAACTTTAGACTATTTTGAGATTATAGGGAGAAACTAAAACAGCTGGCTCTGTAAAAGTCCTACATGAATTTCTACATGTGAGAAGCCTCTTGTCTGATCTGTTATTTAATGTTAAGAGCAAAGTAGGGATTTTTAAGTGTATACTAGCAAAGCAATTTGGGCACTAACACCTATGAGAAATACAAGTATTACACTAAATAGTCTTAAGGCAGTTTAGTTTGGTGGGGAGAAATTAATTTCTATCTGATGTGCTTTAGATTAACATCATTGTTATTTCCCTAGTTCTATAGACTGGACTCAACTAGATGGCAGCCAAGGGTGGGGCAGGTGAAGAATTTATGCAAACATTGAGTGAGGTGAGGCCAGCTGGGGGATGTGGCAGGCCACCATCAGCCCAGGAAATGGGGTCGGGGGACCTACTAAGAAGAGGATTGGGGGAAGCCAATGAATCCTAAAATACTAGAATATCATTCTCTTGTTCCCACAGTTCGACAAGACCCATTGCTTGGGAGCAGCGAGACCTTTAATAGTTTCCTTCGTCGCGCACAACAGGTAAGGTTTTAAGTGAGACTAGATTTAAGGGAAAGATTTGCTGGAGGGCCATGTCATTTTAATGGTATGGTTGAGAGGAGTCATTCTGGAACTTTGATAATGGAATGGAGTGTCTGCTGTACCACTGAAGTCAAAGGCAAGGAAAGCTCAACCTATGTTTAAGCAGCTGAGAATGAAACACAAAAGGGGACTAGAAATAGAGAGTTGCAGACGGAACAGAGCTGGTCTGGGGACAGGTGTTAATAAGGCAGAGCTTCCCAACCTCATGTATGCTCACACAGGAGACACAGCAGGTCCCCACAGAGGAGGTCTCCTTGGAAGTGCTGCTCAGCAATGGGCAGAAAGTTCTGGTCAACGTGCTAACTTCAGATCAGACCGAGGATGTTTTGGAGGTAAGGTGCTTTTTCAGCACTGCCCCTGCACCCTCTGCACCCCAGGTCCTGGGCTTGGGGAAGACTGGGACCAGCCAATAGGATGAGCTGTACTTCCTGTCCCCAGGCTGTAGCTGCAAAGCTGGATCTTCCAGATGACTTGATTGGATACTTTAGTCTCTTCCTTGTTCGAGAAAGAGAGGATGGAGCCTTTTCTTGTGAGTCTTTTTAGACTTTACTATTTCATTGTGCTTCCAGTAGTGAGTTTCTGCCTCCCTGTCACCCCTTAGAATGGAACATTTTCTCACGGTGCTTCTTTCTTGTTTCCTTTTTTTTTTTTTTTTTTTTGAGGTTCATCACATTTTTCCTTTTTTTTTTTTTTTTAATCCATAGTTGTACGGAAGTTGCAAGAATTTGAGCTGCCTTATGTGTCTGTTACCAGTCTTCGGAGTCAAGAGTATAAGATTGTGCTAAGGAAGAGGTCAGGGCTGGGCCTGAAAGTGGGGACAGTGCTGAGTGTGATTATTGGGCCATATATGGAGACAGAATAATCCAGACAAGGGAGTAGTGCCATGTGTTTATACCAGGCCTCCCAAACTTCCTCTCACTATCTCACCATTAGCCTGAGAGTTCCAGATTGCTCCTGTTTTGCCCCATTTTTCCATTCTATCTATTGCCTTACCCCAGCTTAGCCCCATTACCCCTTTCCACCCCTTGGCCTCACAGTTATTGGGACTCTGCCTATGATGACGATGTCATGGAGAACCGAGTTGGCCTGAACCTGCTTTATGCTCAGGTGAGCTTGGAGCTGCATCAGAACCCTTGCCCTGAAAATGACTCTGGTGTCCCACTTGCCTAAGAAAATATTTGTCTTTGTGCTCACTTCTTAGAGATATTCCTAGAATACTGTCAGGACTCTTATTAAAGCATCTCTAATTCTCCCTACTTTTATTATAAGTTGATAGGGTCAAGGTCTCACTTTAAAGAGGTCACTCAAGTGTGGGGCTAGGGTCAGACTCAACATTTCTAACTCTGGACACTTTCCAGGGGGGCCACTGACTGGAGCCCCCACCCCCATCCCTTGTTTCAACTGTAGACGGTGTCAGATATTGAGCGTGGGTGGATCCTAGTCACCAAAGAGCAGCATCGGCAGCTCAAATCTCTGCAAGAGAAGGTCTCCAAGAAGGAGGTGAGCTCTTCCTGGCTGTCCTTGCATGGGATTGCATACTCTGAGCCTCCACTCCCCCTTCTAATCCAGGACACATGCTGACATTTTTCAGTTCCTCCGCCTGGCTCAAACCCTGCGGCACTATGGCTACCTGCGCTTCGATGCCTGTGTGGCAGACTTCCCAGAGAAGGATTGTCCAGTGGTGGTGAGTGCAGGCAACAGTGAGCTCAGCCTCCAGCTCCGCCTGCCTGGCCAACAACTTCGCGAAGGCTCCTTCCGGGTCACCCGCATGCGATGCTGGCGGGTCACTTCCTCTGTGAGTAAGGTGGGAGGGAAGGCTTCCCTGGGTCGGGGTACAGCAAGCCTTCAGCTTCAAGGATGGGCTGTAGTGGTTTGGAAGAGGTAGCCTAATTCTCTTTCCTCTCTTAGGTGCCACTGCCTAGTGGAGGTACAAACAGCCCAGGCCGGGGCCGGGGTGAGGTGCGCCTGGAACTGGCTTTTGAATACCTTATGAGCAAGGACCGGCTACAGTGGGTTACCATCACTAGCCCCCAGGTGTGAGACCACCCTCAGACCTCCTCTGGAGCCCCTTAGATAACCATCTAGGGCTTCCAGGACTCCATGTGAGTGGGAGCCCTTGTCTTAGGGTGCTGGGCTCAGGATGAACACCTTAGTCAACAAGCTCTCTGCTCTCAGGCTATTATGATGAGCATCTGCCTCCAATCAATGGTAGATGAACTGATGGTGAAGAAATCTGGGGGCAGTATCAGGAAGGTAAGCAGCAAGCAGGGACCAGGCAGCTGAGTGTGGGGACAGCGCTGAGTGTTATGCTCTCCCTACCTTTTGTCCCGAGGTTTCTCTTGAGGGGATATAATTAAGATTCTGACAGAAGCGATCCTGACTTCTGTGACCCTGATCAGCATAYTGGATTTTTGTCCCCAGATGCTGCGCCGGCGGGTAGGGGGCACCCTGAGACGCTCAGATAGCCAGCAAGCAGTGAAATCCCCACCACTGCTCGTAAGTATCACCCCGGGTCATTACCCTGGCTTCCAGACTTGCCTTACCTCCCCCAGTGAATCTGATAACTCTGCCTCCTCTTCCCCAGGAGTCACCTGATGCCAGCCGGGAGTCCATGGTCAAACTCTCAGTGAGTTAACAGGGTTGGCGAGGTTGGTGTCTGTAGGAGTCCTCCAGGCTCAAGCCCTCTGACCCCACCCTGCCTTTGTTACAGAGTAAGCTGAGTGCTGTGAGCTTGCGGGGGATTGGCAGTCCCAGCACAGATGCCAGTGCCAGTGACGTTCACGGCAATTTCGCCTTCGAAGGCATTGGAGATGAGGATCTGTAATCTCCACTGCTTGGATGTCTACCCCAGAGGAATTTACAGAAATGTGCCCTGTGCCCCCAAGCTAGGGGGAGTTTTCTCCTTTTCCTTTCCTATCTCTCCTTTTCCTTCTTGGCCAGGGGCCTCCTAACCCATTTTCCCTCCCTGCCGGGCTGGCTGCACAAAGAACTGCCCTCTTTTTTCAGAGCAGGCCCTCGATGCCAAATTAACATTTAGTATTTTGCACAAAGTCCAAGGGACCATGGCTACCTGCCTTGGGGAGGAGCCAGAGCTCCCCCTGGTCTGCTTCTGGCTTCTTAGGGCCATGGGCAAGGGGATGGACAGAGGTCTATGTATGGTCTGGCCCAGCTCCTCATTAAACTCAAGCCTGACTGCTGCCTACCTCTGGTTCCCTCTCACTGCCCCTGCTGCCCCCATTGCAGCACGGACTGCTGTGCAAAGGACAAGGCCAAAGTGCTTGCCATTGCCAATTCAGCATAGACATGGCTTTGTTAGTGTTTCCTTTATTATAAAGCACTGAAATAAGTTAAATAAACAGGTGGGAGGCTGGGCAGTCCCCAGCCAGTTCTTCCACAGCCCCTGAGAGCAGTGGAGGTGAATACAAGGCCCTTCTCACTGAGCTCATGAAGTGCATCAGTCAAGGCAAGGCCCCCTGGTCCATATGGGCCCCTACCCAGAGAGTTTGGGCTGGTCCATATAGTGCCTAGGTTGGTCTGTGGAGCCCCTGGCCAGCGGGGGAAAAAAGAAGTTGGCTTCTGTTCCATCTGTATAAAATGCAGGAGGAGCAGGGCTTATCCATAGGGGCCCTGGGGAAGGACCTAGTTCAAGGTGAGTCTGTATGGAGAGCCCGGCTACCAGCAGTGCCCAGGGCTGTTGGACCCCGAGTGCTCAAAACAGAGGGTGGGCTATGAGGTGGTGCCCATCCCTCTGTGGCAGAGAGGCCAGGCCCTCCTGCCCCACCATGGCCATGCACCTTCTGGTGGCGCTTGTAGTTGTCCCAGTGGCCTGTGGTATAGGCGCAGGTGGCACAGCGGAAGGGTTTCTCGCCTGTGTGCCGCAGCATGTGGCGTTTGAGGTTCATGCTCTGGTTGCAGCTGTAGTTGCAAAGGCTACATCGAAAAGGTTTGTCGCCAGAGTGGATACGACCATGACGTTTGAGGTTGGCCAGGTTGCCACAGGCATAAGGGCAGAGGGGGCACTTGTAGGGCTTCTCTCCTGTGTGGACACGCTGGTGCCGTTTCAGGTTATCCAGATGAGCAGAGGCATAAGGGCATCGGGCGCAGCGGAAGGGCTTCTCACCACTGTGCGTCTTCATGTGCCGGGCCAGGTGGTTGGGATAGTGAGTGGCAAAGGGGCAGAGGCTACAGGCAAAGCCTTTGTCACTGGGGCCCTGGGGCACCCCACTGGCACCCCCTCCAGCCTCTCCTCGCATGCAGCGCCCACACATGGCAGATCCCAGCCGACTACCCTCACCCTCCTCCAGCTCTTGTCCACAGCCCCGGCAGGTCCAAGGGAACAGCAGCTCTGGCAGTGGTTCTGATCCAGTCCCACACAGGCCCTCCCCTTCACCCCGCAGCTGCCCACAGTCTGGCAGGAAACTGGCACCACCTGGTGGCACATGGAGACTCAAATCTGGAAGGAGCAGAGCATCTGTGGGAACAATGAAATTTGAGCTATTAATCCAAGTACCGCTAGTGCTCCCCACCACAGGATCTTTGGTCTCTGGCTTTTTACCTTCAGATCGCCGGGGCACTGCTCCCTCCTGTTCTGTGGGACTGGGAGGCCGGGTTGGTCGTGGAGCACAGCAGCGGAAGCCACAGGTCGGGCAGGGAGGAGTGGGGGGCCCTGCATGGGTACGCTGATGCCGCCTCAGGTTGCCCAGGCTGCTGCAGGCAAAGGGGCAGTGGGGACAGCGGTAGGGCTTCTCGCCAGTGTGGGTGCGGGTATGTCGTGTCAGGTTGACGAGCTGGGCGGAGGCGTAGGGGCAGCGGCCACAGCGGAACGGCTTCTCCCCGCTGTGTGTCTGCATGTGCCGCTTCAGGTGGCTCGAGTAGTGGGACACGAAGGCGCAGAGGCGGCATGAGTACAGTAGCCGTGGGGGCAGCGGGGGCCCCCCACCCGGCCCTCCTGCCCCACAACACGGCCCCTCACCTGTCAGCCCCCCACACAGCTGGCAGGCTGGGCCTGGCCTCTCACCCCTGGCCTCCCCTGGACCCCTGGCTGGCTCCTCAACTTCACTCTCAGCACTTAATGCTCGGCCGCCCCCAGACTCGTCGTCGCTCAGCCCGTAGGGAAGCCCAGGCCTGGCCCCCAGAGAGTCTCCTGGCAAGAGATACATAAGAAAAAACATCAGTATGGGGTAGGACCAGCTCCAAACTCCCTTTTTTCCACCACCTATGGTCTCACTTGCTTAGCCCCACCTCACCTTTCTCTTGGCTTTGATAATCCTTTTAGTTCTCTCCTAGGGATTAAGGTCTCCCTTATAATGCCTCCATAAAATTCAAAGTGAWTTGTCTACCTCTGAGTCTGCACTAACCTAATGTCAGTAGAGTTGAATTGAATGGAAAGATCAAGGGCTCACAGTAGATTGCAAACTGAGATGATTAAATAATGTAATTAATCCTTGAATAAAAAAGTTAAAATAGGTCTCAGGAAGGACCTGGGACCTTTTTCTAYTCTATTAACTTCAAGTACAGAGTTAATTATAAAATAAAACCCACCTCAGGAAAGAGGCAAAATTTGGAGAGAAGCACAAACAAAGAAAGTAATGTGCATTACACTTAAGGGATAGGTTCTCTTTTACTTGAGTTCCTTGAACGATTTTCAAAATATCCTTCATAAGTGAGTGGGTAATGTAATGTTAGGGTAGGGTGATGCTAAGATCACACAAGGAGGAAGGATATTTAAGGGCAGAAGCTATGAAGTCAGTACAAAAGGAGCTTGAGCTTCAGGTGAAACAAAGTTAAGAGCAGACCTAAGTACTAACTAAAATGATTAAAGAGAGGGCTTTCCCAAACCTCTTTACAGTACCCACACAAGGAATGGACTAGGGAGGATATTAAAAGAGTACTTAACCACCTTCCTCAAACTATCTTTGACCAGTCTCCAGAATTTCTCATCAAAGTGATGGAACCATAAGTAAAGGAAGTAATAGCTCCAAACTAAAATCAGCCTTGGGTTGTGGCAGGAAATGGTGTTTTGGTCGCTGACACTAAACCCTACCTAACCTGTCTCCTAAAGGGCTACTAGTCCTTAACCAAGTCCCTAAAAAAACCCACCTTCTGAGTCTCTCTCAAAGCCCATGAGCTGGTCGCTGTTGCCGTCACCTTCCTCCTCCTCTTCCTCCTCAAACTCCAGATCCTGGCCTAGTAGCAAATCACTTTCCAACACCAGTGCCCCGGGTCCTTCGTCGAGAGAGTCTTCTGTATCCACTAARGAAGGGAGGGGGCTTATGGTTCCTCTCTCCCAAGTGGTGCCCATCGTCCTCACCCAGGGAGCCAGCCCTCGTRGACGGCGCTTCCCGTACTCGTTGACCCTCTTGGGTTCCCTTAGTACCTGAGTGGGAAGCTAAGAGCCCAGGTCGCCCGCCCCATCCCTCAGGAGGCCCCCTCCACCATGACCTGAGCCCACTCCACTGACCCCACCCCCGCTCCTCCCCCCAAAGCCCCTGACCCCTGACCTTTGACCCCCTCGCATTTCACGGGCTGCGGGTGGCTTTGCTTCCTTCGGGGCATCGTGACCGGCTCCAGCCCGACGCGCCTCCGGCCCCACGGCCGCCCGGCCCCGCCCCTCCCAGCTCGGCCCCTCTGCCCGCCCCTGCTCTCAGGGCCCTCGGGCCGCCCCCATGCAGAGGCGCAGGCCCTGGGCAGCCCCCGGCCCTGGCCCCGGCGCCCAGCTCAGGCCGCTCCCGCCGCCGCCGCCGCTTCCATTCATGGAGCCCCCTACCCCCCTCCGGAGACCAGCTGGTACCTCCGTACCCGCTTCCGCTTCCGCTGCCGCACAGCCGCACGGGAGGCGTAGTCCGCGGGACGCACAGTGCTGAGAATGGCCCAGCGTGACCGGGAAGTGATTGTGACGCGCCACAGACAAGCCAATCAGCGGCCGCAGAAACCGGGCCGGCCAGCCGGGCAGGAGACGCCCTGCCTCTTCCCGGGGGGAACTGGGAAGTCATTCCGACTCCAGCAGGCTGTGGGGGCGCGCRACGTCAGACCGGCCTGCCAGGCAGGAGCTGGCTCTGGAGTTAACGCCCGGCCCCTGTTCCCCCTACCCATGCGCGCGACACACAAGCACGCGCGCAAACAGGGAGGAGCTCGCTAGATGCTTCTAGTGYGGTCATGTCTCAGGCCACGGCAACAGAAAAAAAGGACACCAAGGGCACAATTAGGTTTTGGCCTTTAGTCTGAAAAAGTGTTGATTGAAAGTGTACAACAGAGAGCGGGTGCAAGCGGCTGGGGGCCATGGTGCCGCCAATAAAAAAGAATGTCCTTAAATAAAGTGTTCACAGAGTAAAAACCAGAACCGCCAGTCCTTCCCTCCAACACAACATGAGCACAGGCACAGAACCGGTGATGAGCCCGAAGGAGCAAGGAGGCTGGGGAGGACAGCAGAGGCTCCCGGACTGCTGTGCGGAGGGAGAGCCCTCTTTGGAACAGGCTGGCCGAGGAAAGCTACCCAGCTCCCCCTGCACACCTCATACCCACTGCTAAGGCTAAAGGAAAAAGACAAAACTCAGTCTCAGGTCCGGAGGGCTCAGAAAACAGTCTAGATGGGCAGGGATCTAGATGACTGCTAGTCCCGCTTGGCCTTCTTCTTGTCGCTGTTGCCATTYTCTTCTGCTCCCTCAACAGAGAGCACCTCCTCAAGTTTCCGCTTGCCACTCTCTGGCTGAAGCTCTGCTGTGTTTCGGGGCTTGAAGCAAATGATGATGCAGGTCATGTTGTCACACCCTGTACCATCCCCAGAAGTGTCTGGTGCCAGGCACTGATCCAGCAGCTACAAAAGGGATGGGGCAACTCAGCCACAGGATTTGAACACCTTCCTGGGAACCTACAATCCCACAAGAGGGCTGGCACTGCTAAGACAAGGTGCCAGAAGGAATGGAAAGGACAACAGATGTCATGAGGAATAAAGCTAAGTCAGGGAYGTGAGGGAAGGTAGAACTTTCTAGTCAGGATCTGGTGCCTATCAGTAATTAATAGTTCTCCCAGGGTCTAGTCTTAGCCCAAGTGAAAAAAAGAAAAAACCTTGGCTGTGCAGATTAGCACCTTCTCTTCTCCACCCTTAGACTCACCTCTTCCACGATAGATGACAATAACCGAAGCTCCCCATTTTCATCACGCTGGCTGATCTTTGATTGAATAAAGTCTACAACTTCCTGGCTGCTCATCACATTCCTGGGGTCAAAAACAATAGTCAAAATCTTCTTTGGTCCCACCAAGGCAGAGTAGAGGAGTGTGGACAGAGGCCAGGACCCAAACTAATGTCTACAACTAAAGAAATTCTCCTCAGCTCTGCCTTGTCTTGGTCTTGACTCACCAAGAGATCTCCTTACAGCAGCTCTGAACCCTACAGAAGTATCGCTGCAGAAAGAGCATGTRGAGGGCATTCTGCCAGTGCTCACCAGATTCCATCACAGGCAATGACCATGAATTCATGGTCATCTGTGAGAGTCAACACCTTGATGTCTGGAAGGGCTGAAATCATCTGTTCCTCAGGTGGCAGGTTCTTGTTTCTCTTGTAGAAATGGTCTCCTAAAGGAAAAAAAGGGTTGGCTGGCATGKAATTTGAATACTTTCCACAAACTTGTGTTTTCAATGTTAAACCTTGTCATTGCCATTCATTGTTTTCATAGTTCTACAATCCAGTGAAATGGAGAACTGGGTTCTAGTTTTTCTAGTTCCAGCCTTATGGTTGCTGAACTCTTAATTCTCACATGTCTTTTTCATCATCCAGAAAGTAATCAAGATAATGATATCTCCCTTAGCTATTTCACAAAGAAAAATTTAAGGACAGAGGTAGAAGATGTGAAACTACTTTGAAAGATCCAATGGCTATGAAGATTAAATAAAGTTCCCTATTAGGTAGTCTCAGACTGAAAACAAAACCCCAGAAGTCTTTCCCCAGTTTCTTGGTCCTTACCAATAGCTCTGGAGAGGTTCAGGCCCCCATTGACTCGTCCATCCATGGTGACCTTGCCACCAGCATTCTTGATGCGTGCTAGTTCCACTTCATCCTCTGGTTTGTGATCATAGGACATGTCTAAAGCTTTGCCAGCCTCAGACACCACACAGCGAGAGTCTCCTGCATTGGCTACAATCAACTGCTTGCCTCTTATGAGAGCCACCACCGCTGTCGTGCCACTGTCAGAGCCAGGCTTAAGAGGAAGAAAGGAAGCATTATAGGAGCTTTAGAACGACAGTCCCTCCTTGGTGCACTCCTGACCAGTCACCTATGCTATGAAGCTTTAATAAACAGGAGAAGCACAGATTTCATCTCTCCAGAGATAGCAACATGTTCCCTCCCCTTTTTTAGATAATTCTGCCCAAAAGATTTACTACCTAGTTCCCCTTGAAGAATAAATCCACTTGACCACAACTGAAGATAACAAAGACATCATCTCAAAATAAATATTAGAGGATCTGCATCTGCCTCTTGGCTTTTCCAGACTCACTGGTCCCCTCCCCACACACCTCCTCTTTGCCTTCCATCCCAGGCACCATCATTTCTTCTTCTTCCTCCTCCTCCTCCTCTTCATCATCATCATCCTCTTCAGCCTCCTCAGTGTCATCTTCTTCTTCCTCATTTTCTGCCTCCTCACTGCTGTAGCCATCCTCTTCTTCACTACATTCCTGCCAGGAGGAGGATCCCAGGCTGCTGAGACTGGGATGATGCCCTGCCCCCCTACCCCCACTCATACACAAAACACCAAGAGGCCCTAACTCAACACAGACCCTCAAAACACTGAAAAATACAACTGTATGATCAAGCAAATCATACAGTGGGGGAGAGAGGGCCCTCAGATGAATGTAACTGATATCCTGAAGTATACTCAAGCAGTCACCACCAAGAAGCCCTAGGAAAGGCCAGGGCTGCCAAAAAGCACCTTCCAGGCAATGTGGCCAGAATATAAATTATCCAGAGACGGAAACACCTAAATATCCAAAGTAACAACTACCTTCTTGTTCTCTCTAGGAGACAGACTCTGAAAGGCCAGAACTAGATCTTTCTGTTATAGTATCAACAAAGGAAGAGATAAGAGGGCTAATGGTTCGTGTAATGGTAGAGATGATGCCTTCAAGGGTAAAGCTTAGAATACAGTGGGTCTTGGGGGATGATGTCAAAATAAGAGAAGGAAGAGAGTTGAAAGCTACAATGGTAATCGAACAAGCCCTCTCTTCAACTTCATCATCTGCCTGCCCTCACAGGCCCTTACCTCACTGTCTTCCTCTTCCTCCTCCGCCTCATCTGACTCATCCTCACTGTCCTCAAAGAACTTGGACTTAGCAACTCGAGGCAGCTTGTCAGAGGCTGAAGAGCAGGAAGGCCCAGCCTCACCAGTGGGAGTGCCAGGCTCACCAACTTGGCCTGCCTCAGTCCCACGTTCGGAGTTGGAGGAAAGGCCTGTGTGGGCCTTGGCTGTGGGGCCATTTTCCTGTGATGGAGTTTCCCTAGATGGGTCCTCAGGTCCTGCCTCCCCATTGAGGCCCTGGGACCCTGGTTCCTCGCCTGTCCCAGCTCCAGATTTGCTGTGGGGAGGGCCCTTGTGACAGTTCTGCCCGTAGCGTGTCAGCAGTTCTTCAATAGTCATGGTAGCCTCTTCATGCAGCAATGCAGCCTCCTCATTGTCCACTGCAGGGAAGAGGCTATATCAGAGCCCCCATGCCAGACTTCTCATGGGATAAGTCTCTCTCACTACACCAAAGACATCCGCACAGCCTGAATTTCAACTTCCCCACAACCTCCCACTCCTGAGGCTCCTTGCACTTATCAGGTCTCAGAAGAACACCTCCTAGCTTCCTTCTCCTCCACAGACCTCTTTTGGTCTTTATCTTTTACCTGCTTCTTAGTCAAGGGAATACTAGTTACTGTATTTCCCCTCTCATTTTCGTTTGTTATTGTTAAGCTGAAACCCCTACTATCCTGGCTGAGAACCCAATAAGCCCACGATGCTACTTTAGGCCTAGAGTCCAGGCTTAATTACTGGCTACTGGGGCTAATGATTACTCCAGTCTTAGAAAAAAGGTCACATAAATAACAACAGGAACCATGTAGACCCATCACAATGCCAAAAGATAATGTATATAAAAATGCTTAGAATTATGATACTAAGCACAACAAGATTAATTCTCTCCCTCCTTTTCAAAACCACATGGAAAACAGGAGAACACCATAGGGTTCGTCATTGTGAGGACTCCCCAGATCCCTAGGAAAAGCCATTCTCTCTCAGAATTGATAATAAAATGCTAATTTCCTCTCAAATAGAGTATGCCACACTCACCATCATCTTCATCAGCTACTTTTTCTTTTTCATCTTCATCCTCAGTGGGTCTCCCAGCAATCTGTGCCAACTCCTTAATGACTTCCTCAGTGGTCAATTTGGCATCAATAGCCAAGAAGGCATCTTCTAAAGCCTGAATATAAGCAAAATGGTATGAAGCAAGAACACACTGGGAGATACCCACAGACATATAAAATAATTCAGAGACCTGGAAATAAGAAGGCAGACTGAAAAAGACCCAAGTGGGAAAAAACTTCCTTTAGGTAGACACATAATTCTTTAAATAAGC